AAAAAAAAAAAACTGATGTTTTCTACGCGCCTTTTACGCGTTTGTCGATGGGAATAACAGAGAAAAAGTTCACCCATGAATCAGTGAGAAGACAATCTGCTGGTATAAAGGGAAGAACAGTAAAAACGGGACTGCGAGCTGTGTTATTTTGGATAGTGCATTAAATAAATCAAATCTGCAGGGGAAAGAGATAATAAAAGAAGCACTTCTTTTCATAGCTTAAACTTTGCTAGTAATTGTGACTGATGATGAACTAGATAATTTTGATGTCAATTTAATTCCTTTTTGAGATACTTTTTGAAGACTCTGATATCAGAATGTTTCCAGCGAATATATGAGACATCACGATCAAGTTGCTGTGCTGTTTTGCAATATAAGGAGCAGTTTTTTCATAATCAACTTCCTTGTGGTTGTAGTATCGAATAAGTTCTTATTTCTTGAAATTTTGTGTAACATTTAAATATTGTAGGTTTTGGAGAGTTTGCAGCATAACAACTTTGAAGTCAGAACTGCTATGGAACATGCTGAGGAGTATGTACCTAAACCAGAGAAACCGTTTTCCACTGATGAACAAAGACTGTTCTGTAAAGGGCTGGCGACTCACGGAAAAGATTTTCGCCTGATTCGCAACGAAGTAATCGACATTTCTTTTCTATTTTATCATTTCTAAATTAGAAGGAAAATTACTACTGGAATTAATAAGCTTCGTAAGGAACTAATGTGCAAGCAACATGAGAAACGAATACTTAGTTGATGTTTGCTTAAGAATTCATTGAATTATGGAAGTAACACAGATTGGCTTTTTGGTAGTTACCCGTTTTACTCAATATCGAAATTTTCCAGCTTATTCCATCGCGAACTGTTCGCGAGCTGGTAAAATATTATTACGACACCAAAAACGCAAGGTGTTTTGGATGTATGAAGAAATGCTGTCCGAAACTACTTCGGTATGTGCTTGGTTAAAAATTGCTGACGATGTCGTCTTCTGAGCAAGTCTGACCCAAGACGACTGTTAAAACTGTTTTAGAACTGTGAAGGAACTTGATTGTCAGTCATTAGCGCTTTTAGCGGGATCAAATTTGGTATCTTAGGAAAGACTTAAGTGTTAAACTGGGAATTCTGTCAAATACCTCGAGCAATTCGGGGTTACTTTGAGAAATAACTAATTTATTAATAAATTTTCTACCTGCATTGTAGTTTTCTAGTTTTATAACGTCAGGTTTTAAGTTTGATTTTATTCGGCTTTCTAAAGTCTCTGCGTTGTTACTGCAACTGTTGCAAAGTTATTTCTTATTCCTTTTGGGCTGTTCAAAATGCAGTGTTGACAATTATAAAGTTGTTCGGTGAAAAAATTTACTTTTCAAGGTTGGCAGCTCCAGAAGCCTGTGTTATAGTCAGTTCTCAATGTGAAAATTGCGCTGGAACCTCTGCAGTTGCTGGGAAGGCTGAAATTGTTCGCCTTTGCGAACTTTGTAGCCTGTATCGGCGGTATTGCCTTTTCTTTGTTCTTCATTTTTCAGTTCATCACTAACTAATGCCATTCAGCTGCTGTTGTTTTTACTAATATTTTTATTGTTTTAGAAAAACGGGGAAGATGAGACCCATTCACAGTTTAAATAGGAAGGTTATAAAAACTGAAGGTTACATTTTTTTCTTTTACAAAACTTTTTCTTTTTGAAGAAGAAGAAGAAGCACTGTCATCCAACGGATTTGTAAAATAGTTGAAGGGAACTTTGAGGATTCTTTAAAGAAGGTTCAAGCAGTAAAAGTTGTCTTTGTTGATAAAAGAAGTAGTTAATTTCTAACTATGAATTTTATTGAGATATTTTTTATTTAAGTTGTGACGTTAATTGGTTTTTAGGGGTAAAAGATGAAAATTTTCATCAAGACCAACCTACAAACAGTTTGGGCGTTCCTTCATTGATTAGTGGGTATGTACACGATACTCTACCATAAAAGTCGATTATCTAATAGAAATCAACAGTATTTGTTTGAAATTTTGTAGGATAAGTTGTCAAAACCACGTATGTAGTTACACAGCGCCAAGATTGGGCCGCTTGCAGAAAGAAACTCGTTGGACACCACATGAAACTGAAGTTGCTGTTCAAGGTGAACATGCTTTTTCGTGCTTCCAAACAAAATTGCAGCAAGAACTTTCACCAGTTGTGTCGGTTTTAAATATCACTTCTAAGATTAATTCTTTCCGTATTGACCGCAGCATGCAATTTTACCAGAGCATACCTGTCAACGTGACACGGTCCACTGAAAAATTTAATTTTTAAGGGTTGGGTTCTTTGCTATTATTGGCTACAAAGCTGTTTATTGTGAATTATAAAGTACTTTTTATTGTTCAAACCTTTCGCAAAAATTCGTGCCTCTAAAGAGTGAAATTGCAATTTACTTACGTTAGATAGGCAGCAGATGTGCTCGAGCGGAAGGAAAGTTAATCTTAGTTGAACGCAAATAATCTGCTAAATAAAATTTGCTTTGCATTGTTCTGAACATTTAAAGGAGCTTTAGTTTTGATGAAGAGAGGTGTGGGGAAGGTGATTGACAAAAATGACCGCAGTTTTAATCGGTTTAATCTTTTTATCGTGTCTTTCTTCGGTTTTTGCTCGAGTTTTGATAACATTGCGATGAACATGTTGTTCGTAGATTAGACTAATATTTTACATAACAAAGACATTAAAATTTTTACAAGTTGTAGAGCAACGTAAATATGACGGGAGATTTGTTTTTTCTGTTGCCAACTTAAGTGAATTTACTGTTGTGTCTATTTTCAGCATTCTACTCTTATGGAAAGGATTTCCAGGCAGTATCGACAGCCGTTGGTAGTAAATCTGCAGCAGCTGTAAAACGTTTTTATGCGGAGAAACAGTCGACATATCGTCTTGATTTTGTAAGGTTTTTTCAAGTATTGAAGTAAGCAAAATGTTTTAAAAAAACAGGAATTTCTTTTTTGGACGTCATTCTTTTTAGAAAATTAGAAACATTTATTGGAATCTTTTTAGAAGAAAAAAATTGCAGTATATAAGCTGAAAGATGACCAGTACCTTATTTATTCCAGCATAATGGTGACACAAACTTTAGCACTGCTAAATTTCGAGCAATTTAAAACTACTATTTGTTTTTTTTTTTCTGTTGTTCGATTAAGTGAAAAATGAACTTGCGAGATTATTTTCGGGGTATTTGATTCTGTTGATATTATTCTGTTTTGAAGAACGGTAATTTTGCAGTAAAACCTCTTTTCTTTTAAACTTTCACATAAGTGACCAGTTATTTTGCAGTTCTTTTTGGTTGGGCATCTTTATTCAGACAACTTGACGTGTAGTTTGTACTTGTCCAGAGCTATTTTTCTTATTATTCTTAGTTTTTAGAAAATATTCGAGTTTAATGACAAAGAATCAGTAAATAGCAATGATACAAGCTTGTTTGCTTCTCCTGAAGTCACAGATTATTCAGGAAGCAGTTTTAGACTAAAACGTCTTACTTCATGAATACTCAGGAATACCAGGTTGTAAGCCGATAACTCTGAAAGGAAAAAGAAGAGAAATATTTGTTATCATTGCTCATTACGCTGGTGACTAGCTTGAAGTTTTCGTTTATCGTTAATATCATTCCTGAGTGGTGACGCACAGGTTGGGGGGTTTTCATCATGCCGCTCAGAATTTCTGCAGAATTGCAGAGGCTGAACAACTTTTGCCAAGCAAGAAAGTGTTTTCTTCTGACGCCGTCTGTGGCTCAGCAAACGTTTAATAGGTGCGCAAAAAAGTTGCTCATTTCCTCAGCTAAATGCGGGAAGGACGTCGTTCGGTTGTGCCTTTCCACAGCAGACTTCTCAGTCACTCTTGCCGTTTGCTGAAAGCACTAATGTTTTTCGGCTGCTTTTTTTTTTAGTCATCTAGTTTGGGAAATCTCCTTTGTTTATTAGTGTAGTAAAAGTAGTTTACGGAGTCTATCTGATTCTGATATTTATGAGCTTTAAGCGTTTATTAAAAGATATATTATAAGCAATCTTTTTGAAATAATTTTTGGAAAGTTTAAAGTGTATATGAAATTTAAGTTGGCAGGCGCTTTTGTTTTATGTTGACTGTCTTTGAGAGATTTAGGCTAGTGTAGAAGATTTTCGGGGATCTCATATAGGATTTATAAAATTAGCAGACGAGAAGCAGGGTTAACGGACAATAACTTTTTCTTTTATTGGAAGCAGATATGTCATTGTAGTCAGGATAAATAAATTTCAAGCGATGCTCGCTTTTCAAAACTGTAGATGGCTTACATTTCGAGTCTTCATAGCATTTCAAGCAAGTTTTTGGGAATAAAAAATTGTCCATTTGTTGTGCGCTTGAAAAGGAACGAAGCATGCATGAGCAAATTTGTTACTCTTTTTTCTTTGAAAAGTGTAATGTACGGAGTGAATTAACAGTCGTTGCCTGATTGCAAACGTTCGTAAGGCAGTAATTACGGAGGAAGTTTTGTGGTTTTATGAAGTTAAAGACTTAAAGAAACTTTTGACAGTTCTGACTTATCAGACCAGCTATAAATTATTAACAGCATGTTTTTATCTTTTCCATTACTGCTCGCTAGAAAGGTATTCATCATAAAGAAGAAAATAATTCTAAAATTTCATTTCAAGAACTGCTTCCTGACAAAAAGCTGCTTGAGAAGCAATGCATATGCAGTCACCTAAATAATTGAGAGCTATTAATTTTTGGATCCGGAGTAGGCAGTCAACAGTTTGTAAACTATTTAACGGGTTAAGACTGATGAAGATTTATCAGGGCTTTCGTAAAGTGATATAGGCTAAGTTCCAAAGAAGTATGTCAAGTTCTTCGAAGTTAGCCGTATTGCGGTATCACGCTGGGCAGAGCCAAGCCAAAATTCCTCATCAACAAAAAAAACCTGGACGGCGGCTAGAAGTATCCAAAGTTTTTTGCATTTCAATTCTCGCCGGTTCTGTCACGAGTGAGCTTCTGATTTCACCAAACAGTTCTTTATTGCGGCCCTTTTATAAAGCGACACATACCCCTCATTGGGAGGGAAAGAATTTTGGTTCCGAACGTGTTGTTTATTCCTTTTGGAGTAATTGGAATAGATTAGATGAATATGCGGCTAAAGTATGATCAAAGGGAGTGTTGAGACGTTAGTTCTAAAAATTGTCAACTTTGGACAGATTACGCTGACAGAGAAACTTCAGGCAAGAATGTCAGGAATGAGTTGTACCGTATTAGTAAACGATTGGAGAAATCTTTTTTTTACAGATTTATATAGGTTAGTTGAAAAGGGTTGTAAGACTTGCCCGCAAACCAGTTACAGTAAAATATCAAGAAAGTCTGATATGTTCAATGTAAGAGATTGCAGCCAAAGTTGTTCATTAGAAGAAGAAATCACTTCAATAATTTACTGAGTTTGCCTTGCGTCTTTGTTTATCAGGTTCTTAAATAGCACTTTCTGGTTTATGATCACCCTGTCAACAGTAATTTGCTTTTGATACTTGTTCAAGTTCTATTTTTGTGGAGTGGGTAGTGTAGCTGTCAAAAATTCTCGCTTAATCGCTTCTTGCTATGGCAGCTATATTAGTCCTGAAAATGACGTTTAATTACTGATGACTAAAAGGAAACTGGAGGTGGGATTTAAAAGAATTGTAGTGAACAGTGCTACTGTTTTGTTACCAGTAATGTTTTCGTCAAAAATGAAAGCTTAGTAAATTTTTTTCTAAATATTTGTTTCCAACAGTGATCTGCTAAAAAATGCCAAATGATCATCTTTGCAGTTGATCAGTCGACATTAAGATCAGTCAATGGACGGCAATGATTATGTGATCAGAATTCTATTTGTTTTTTTTTTCACGGAGCTATAAGCTTAAAAAATTATCTTATTATAATTTACTTTTTTTTTTTGTTTTTGTTACGTTTTAATTACGGGTCAAACAAAAAAGAATGTTTGAATCTTTGAACTAAAATGTGATTGATGGTTTTTGCTAGGATATCTACGTTTATTTTCAATTGATTGGAAATTTTTGTATATTTGGGAAGCTAACCTATGCACTTATGGATATGAAGTTTACAACTGGGCTCTGTGTTGCGTGCGGTAGTTGTCAACTTTCATATACCAATATTACTGTGACACCGTCGTGGTTTCCATGACAGTGTAAAAAAAAGCTCTACAGAACATAGTATTCCGAAATGAGTTCTATAAATGACGTTAAGAATTTCAAGTTCTGATTTCTTGTTGACGTTGATTCGGTTTGATAGAAATGTAACTGGTGCTAATGAACGTCTGGTGAAAATGGAACTTCTTTATTTATCAGGAGCTGTACACTGAAGCCAAAATTTATGCTTTCTTCAAATCGACATCACATTTAAGCATAGTGTAAGTCCTAATGTACCAAGCTTAACGGAAATTGATAGAATACTATTTTTGTGCTTCTGTGAATTTTCCGCTTCTGTCTCTCACTTCTTTTGCATTAAAAAAAAAAAGCTTTAGACCGAAATATGCCCTGGTGAAAAAGTATTGTTTATTTATATGAGCGACAGATTTTCGTAGTTTAGAGCTTATATACAACAACTTCTATGACTGCATTACTAATGCATCTTTCTCTTATAAAATACATCTCAAAAAGT